GAGGATTTTCTGATCCTAAGATGGTAGAAATGAGATTGGGCCAAGTGTTCTAAGCACACCCATGCTTGCTGAGCAAAGGTTTATTTGGGGGCCTTGAGGAAACTGGGGCTTCAGTTGAAAGGAGTCAGCATTGGCAGAGATTAGGCTATTGTGGTTTCAGAACAGAGAGCAGCAGTAGGTGTGACTGATTTACTGCAGTAGGCTAAAGTCCAGTGACTCCCATTGGTCAGGGGTTTGGCTCTGCAAGGTCTTTCTTCCTGTGACGACCAGGTGGTCATGGTCCACTTTTTCTAGAATTGTTGAATTACTCTTTTTTATTTTATTTTATTTTATTTATTTATTTTTTTGTTGAATTACTCTTGTAACTGCTGCCATCGTCCTGTGCAAATGTCCTGGCCTCATGATAGGCTGAGCAACTTCATACGCTCAGGTTTCTGAGGAAGAGCTAGGGGCAGAAAAGAGGCAGAGGCAGAGAAAGAAAACAGACACCAGCTCCAACAGGCAAATTAACCCTATACTGAGTTTTGGTAAAAAAAAAAAAAAAAAAAAAAAGCACAATTTTAAATATTTACATTTGGGTGCAAAGCACAGTAGAATCTTCAAGGTTGAAATAGCAAAGTGAACAGACAACGTGAAGACAGAGATGTCCACTGTCTAGATTACATCTTAGGAAGTTGAAGTTCACTTTCTCTGAAGCACTGACTCTTCACTTTGGGCTTGTAGATATCTGATGAATGACTAAAGTGGGTTAAAATTTGGTGTCTGCATTTTCATACTGTGTCTATCTTTTCTGCTGTGTGACCTCCAAACTTAGTTATTTTTAAGTTGAAATGAACCTAGAAGGAGTGTATTTAGATTCCTCTTTGGTAATCATTTCTCATTTCATGCAAACATTCTGTTTCTGTGGTTTTACAAGGGTCTCACAATGAGTCTGTTGAAAACAGCACAGGGAAAAAATAACAACATTCCGTGCTAATTGATAGAATTTTTGGCATGGTTAAAAAGATAGAAATATGAAATAAAAGTGGTCTTTAAGAATGCAGAGAGAGAACCCACGACCACTGAGGTCTGGCTTTTCTCTCTGCCGGACACGTGGTGTGGGGGCATACTTATAGTTTAGGTTTGGAGTGGTGCCTAAGGGGCATTATTGCTGCACAAGTAACCCATTGGAATTTATTTTGCGCCACAGGTAAATCGCCTAGGGGTGGGGAAGATGAACTCAAGATACAGCCCCTTGGTTTGGCCTCCCAGCTCCCACCACTGCAGCATCCCACTAATCATTTATTTTGCCCAGAGTTTCTTATTTCAGTATTTTGTCTCACCAAGGTCCTTTCTGTCTCAAAGTGAGGCAGTAAGTTTTTAAGTGATTCTATTAGGTCAAAGTTTGCTTCTACAGTCATTAAAGATTTGCAAGCCAGTTTCTGTGACCTCTCTCTAAATGTTGTCCCCAAGCCTCATGAGATTCAGGGTGGGGTTCTAAACAGTGATTGAATGATGGGGGTGTTATGACTAAATGTGTTGTTAGCAGATGGGGCCTGGTTTGAAGAGGGATGTCACTGGGCTTGTGACCTGTGACCTGGCTCCCTCTCTGTCTTAGCTTCCTGTCTGCCATGAGGTAAGCAGCTTTCTTCTAGCCATGCCTTTCCACCATGTGGTTTCTATATTTGAACTTGCACAATATGGACTGAAACTTCTAAAATGTGAGCCTAAGGAAATTTCTCCTCCTTTAAGTTGCATATGTGGAATAATTTGTCCCAGTAACAAGTACAGTGACTGAGACAGTAGCCTCAGGTTGGGGATTTAGCTCAGCAGGCATAAGTGCCTGCCTGGCAAGTGCGAGGTCATGAGTTGGATCCCCAGTACCACAAAAAAAAAAAAAAAAAAAGGCAGTAGCCTCTCTTATAAGCAGTGTGATGTCAGGTAAGTGAGGAGTTCCTTTACCCCAATCTGTACAATTGAGACAATAGCAATCACTTATCAGAGTTATGATTACATGTAAAAGTCTGCAGAGCATTTATTTTGCAACTAGTACAAAAGTAATAAGATGTCACAGGTATACAGTACTCAAATTACTCCAAGGATCAGAATACTCTTCAGCCCCCAAAACTACCAATGGGATTTCAGTACATCCACCATTGGCAGACTGAAGGAAAAGGATTAAAGTGGGAGAATGATTGGAAAACTGACTGCAAAATGGAGAGAAAAGAGAAGGAAAAAGGGTAAGAGGCACAGACAGGCGGGCTTTTGTAGAACACTGCTTACTCTGAAATGTAACTGAGCCATGAGTTTGATATTCGATGATGAGTAAAGGTCCTTTATCATCAAGAGAGGTAAATATCATCAAGAGATGTAAATCTTTAAGTGAATCAGTCAAGTGACCACTGCAAGATAGAGCATGACACAGAAGGTGCGGGTGAATGAGATCAGAGGAGCAGTCAGTACAAGGAAGAATGTTTAGGGATCCAGAGTAGCCAGTAACAAGTCTTGTGCAAAACAGAACTACTGGAGCTGGAGATTTAGCTCAGTGGCGTAAGCACCTGGCCTGGCAAGTGTGAGGTCATGAGTTTGATCCTCGGTACCAAACCACCTCCCCCTGAAAAACAACCTCCCCCCCAGAACTACCCTCGTGTGAAAGAATTGAAATTCTGTACAGCTGAAGGGGCAGCCTGGGTTCAGGCATGAAATGTCTTGTTACTAAGTCATGCTTTAGTTACTTGTTGAAGACTGTTTAGGGATGACAGATTGTGTAGGAGGAAAATCAGAAGTCCTTTCTCAAAAGTATTACTTTTCTGGAGTATACATGATAAGTGCAAACTAAGTAAGTAAAGGATCAAGGAAAGTTTTGTAATGGAGATAAACCATAGGTAATGCGATAAAATGTGGGTGGGAAACACAAATTAGATAGGATGAGCTAGAGGAGTTCCCTAAGGACTGGTGTTCAGCTGATAAGATGCAACTGGTGGTGCTGAGGGGAACAGTCAGGGAGGTAGACCAGTTAGGGGGGTGTAAAAGCCTTAATGGTAGACGATAAATCAGAGATTGGCCAAGACTCATTCTATGAACCTTTTGGCAAGTAGGAAAGACTGCCCATAAGAAGATACTGATATAAGGGAATGAAACTCCCAACCTACCATATGTCTGATACGAGTTCGTTTTCTCTAAAATCGAAGAATGAATTTTAGGAACAATAGAAGTTAAGAGCAGTAATATTTATTGACAGAAAGAAAGCTTCTCTCTGAGAGAACCCAAGTGGGTTGCCAAAGATTCTCGGAATTTTTAGAATAAAACCATAAGGTGAGGCAGTTCTAAAGTTGGGGAAAAACTGGGAATTCAATGGCAGATGGGCATGAGATGGGACAGAGATATGGTCAACCAGTAAGTTTAATTGTTCAGGTCAAATTGACCAAATCAGGGAGAAATGGGGAAATGAGTCACATAGCAAGCATCGAGCATTCTTTGTGGATCAGTGACTCTTCCTATAGGGGGTTGGGATGATTCCTGGTGATCCATGCTTAATCCCTAAGGATTATACTTAAAGGTGTGGTTGCATTTATTTTGCCTTCTGTCTTGAGATATGGCCCACAGTAAGAGGTGTGTGTCTCCTCTAAGGTCACCAGACATCTGGTCCTCTGTGCCAGCTTCTCCAAGAGGCTAGCCCTGTCTGACTACCTATATTTCTAACTAACTCAGCTGCCTATAACCATGCAAACAAGTCAGAGATTTATCTATGGTGGCTTTCAATTTTATAGAATGACAAGTAGTGGGAGTTCAGATATTTTGTCCTGCATCTTAAGCCAGAAAACTACACTGATTTCTGAATTTGGCCTAAAATTGAGGATCTGAATATGACTTCAAGCAACTTTTCTGCCCTCAGGTCAAGGTGGAGGTCCAGAGACAGACAAATAGGCCCAGGAGGCACAGACAGATATATTAAAATATATCTAGAAGATGAGGGACAGTAATAATAGTCCTCACTGGAGATTTGCATGGAGAAGATAAAGAGCTGTGTCTGACAGCACACAGGCTTCCGAGTTGAAGAAAAAAAGCTTTGTTTTTGAGATAGGGTCTGGCTATGTAGTGCAGACTGGCTTCCCCTTGATCCTCCTCCGGAGTGCTGATATTACAAGTATGTGCTGCCACACCTGGCAAAGCCACATACTTTTGAGGACCCCTGAGTGGTCAAAATTAGTTTCCATGTCTGTAAAATGACCACATTAAGAATTCTTCACTCAGCTGAGGGCCAGCCTCTTGATTCTGGCACTTTGGGAGGCTGAGACTGGAAACACAAGTTTCAGCCCAGCCTGGGGTAACTGTGGGGGTCCTGTCTCAAAATACTATATGGATTGGGTGTCTAGATTGGCGTGAAGGTCCTGGGTTCAATTCCCGGTACCACCAAAAACAAAAACCACCACATAACCCGAAACAAACAACTCCATTCCTTACTATCCCACAGAAGGAAACTTTAAGGTACAGAAGTTACATTGGTCTGTGCGGAACCAGACTCTGGATAAACCATTTCATCTGATAGCACCAAGTTCAGGACAACGTCTAAAGCAGGGGAGTCTGCACTTGTGGTCTCAGCCTTACGGGGGTCCAGGATGAACTTCAGAGGGCATGGGTATCGCAAGTACGTTTCCCTGGGAAGTGAATCTAGAGGAATCGCCTTTAAAAAGCCGTGAGGAGAGCAGAACTACTGCCTTGAGGTCTCGTTCACGGCACGTTCTCATTGCTGGATAAAACGACAGGGTCAAGCCTAATAGTCCTTTCTCAGATGCGCGAGAACTCAAAGCCCCTGAAACTGAAGTAACCGCAGTGATAGTCTCCACTGCCTCCGCCCGTCGCAAGGGCATTTGTATTTCCGGGTGCGAGGCATTGTGGGGCTAATAGTCCAGACAGTGGCGCGGCTACGAGCAATGATCAAGTGTCCAGAACTACATTTCCCGGCAAGCACCGCGCAACGGGCGCGGATCGGGCGTAAGAGCGTTCAGACTTCCGGACGAGCCGGGGGCGGGACAGCACCGGAGGCTGGAGCGAGGCGTCGGGATGCAGCGCCCCGGGCCCTTCAGCACCCTCTACGGGCGGGTCTTGGCCCCGCTGCCAGGGCGGGCCGGGGGCGCGGCCTCTGGTGGGGGCGGGAACACCTGGGGCCTTCAGGGTTCCCACGTGCAGCTGCAGGGGCGTGCACAGTCTGGAGCCGTCAGCGGCACTGGAAGCACAGGCACCAGCTGCCAGGCCTCCAACAGTCTATACCCGGCTCGCTCGACGATGTCCAAGGCCGAGGAAGCCAAGAAGCTGGCGGGCCATGTGGCCGTGAAGAACCATGTGAAGGTGAGCAGCTCGGGGCGTGAAGGGTTCGTGGTGCACGCGCGGAGTTCTTCTGGGCGGCCTCGCTCTGGGAAGGTGGGGGCTGAGCCAGCGCGGAGGGTGAGCGCTTGGCGGAGTTCCCACCTCTCTTCCCTGCTCCTGACAGACCTTTTAGGAAGACCTTTTAGACGTGGAACCCGTGGGGAGTAAGTCCCCTAAAAATCGAGCCTTGCACAGACTCCTTGTCTTCGGAACACTTCGTAAAGTGGAGTCTTGCGGTGTCTAATGTTTGGAGTGGGGATTAGCGGCACTTGGTGCGCGGCCTCCTTGTCAGGAACTGGAAAATACTGAGCCTTGGGCTGTCTAGAGGTCTTTACTTCCTGTTACTCTGGAAGGATGTCGGAGAGCCGGTTTACAAAATGCTGGGACATTTCTCCCCAAACTTGGCGCGCGCGGGTTCCTCGGGGTCCTGGCCGGCGGCCAGCAGGGAAATCGCGGTTAAACCTCTTTTCTCTGACAGCGCCAGGTGGTAATTTGATATTTGGATGATGTCCGTCTTTAAGGTGGAACTGCGGGGTTGTCAGTGGATCGTGGCACTATTTTAAGTGGAAAGTGCGGGGCTGTTAGTGGCTGGAGTCTTAACCCAAGTGTGTTTGCTGTCATCAGTCAAGTTCATTATCTTAATTCTAGCGCCTGATCGGAAGTCAAGTGGAGTATTTCTGCATTGTTAACTTTTTGTCCCTGTTTTCTGCTTCTGAGGTAGTAGCATTATATTCTTTTTCCTCGATGCTTCTCCTACAACAAAGTTACAAAGACAAGATCCTTTGAGCTTCCCTGCAGCCTGGTTGTGTGGGAGGGGCCAGTGTGACAACCTGTGGCTCAGCCTGTTCTTTTGAAAGAGTGCCCAGACCCTGTCACTTGTGCCACTGCCTTTCCACGGGTTCCACCGCTGCCTTGTCCTGGTGTAGCTTTTGGTAGGGTTCGAGGAGGTTCCCAGAGTAAGTATGGAGAACACAACAGGCTCAGCCTTTCCTCCCTCCGGTTGCAGAAAAAGAATTTTCAGTAGTCAGTGACAGCCATGCCAGGGGAGGATTCATTTAGAAAAGTACATACTCGCGGTGTGGGTGTTCACAGAAGGAAGTACGTTTCAGTCTGGGGATTAGGGGTGGAAATCTGGAATTTGGGAATCTGGAAAGAGAATTTACAGATGAAAGGTGATGGCCCAGGGATTTGGGGGTTTCCTTAAAATGGATTATCTAGGATGTATATACTAGGGTCTGTTGAATTTACTCATTTGGAGGCTACATTAAAATGCAAACCATTTACGTGTGTTTGAAGCTGAGATACACTGTTCTCTTAATAGTACTCTTCCTTGTAATCCAGCATTCCAGAGGTTGAGGAAGGTGGATCATGGCAAATATGAGACCACCCGGGGCTACAAAGTGAGCCCAAGGCTAGCCTGAACTGCATAGTGAGACCTTGTCTCAAAAAAACAACAAAAACCAAAACAGAAAAACTGAACTTCCTAAAATGGGGGTTAGTGGGAGGGGGAGCACAATTTGTAAGTGAAAGCCAGGTTTATAGGATTATTGTGTACAAAACCCTTAGGAATTTTTCTTGGGTTTCTGTCCTGAAGCTTCAGTTTTTTATTAAAAATACAATTTAAAAAAATTTGTTTGTCCTTGTCTTCTGCTCATCTTTATTTCTTCTATGTCAGCTTGTGGCAACTGTTTAGCAATGTGATTTTCTATAGTGGTTAAGAGATATAATACAAAATGTGTAGTTTTGCCATAAGGTTGGAATTCAGTGCCACAGCTATAAAACATGGACAGTAAACTGAAGTTTTAAAGTTATTGTGTAATGAATTGTTAATAGATTGGTAAAATTATACAAATAGAAAAGTTCAAGATTAAACTTGTCCTATCATGTTACATTAATATTTGGTGGCACCTTTCTCCTTGACCTTTGTTTTATAGTTCCTATTTGGTTAAATAATCTTCAAATCCTCAGCTCAAGCAGGATTCCTCCTGAAACCCACTGGATCTCAGCCACATTGCAGGTTATAGGATGATCATGGGGACTCCCTCCAATTGGCCTTTTGGGGACACCTCTTAAAAACATAAGCTTTTCAAGTTTTGATTCAAAGGCCATTTCCTGGTTTTAGCTTTGCTTTAACTTCCTAAGGAGAAGGTTCTGAGGTACATTGTGTTGGTGTCTTATGTTCCACACTGCTGTGTTTGTCCCTCTACCCTGTAAAAGGGTAAGCTCCTGGAGGAGACTTAGCTTTATCTACATATGCTTACCCCAGCAGGAGTTGCCATTTAAATGGTTGCTGAATTGTCTGAATTGAGGACACATACTTGGAGGTTGTAGTTATTGGTGGCCCTTTGTTTAGAATCTTTGGGATGGAGGGTATCACAATTCTAGCCTTTTGGTGTTGCAATTTGGTGACCAGCACCATTTCTGGGAATGGAGAATCTGGAGAAATCTCAGCGCAGTCCTTTGTAGCCCCCAGATCTGTTTCTGAGGGTGTGGTTACCCAAAATGGGTTACTACACAAGACTGTGCTCTCCTGGTCTATGGCCTTACTGGTTTGTTCTGTGTACCGGGGCTTTGCTTTTTGACTGGTTTAGCCTGAAGAAACTTCTGGGCTGTGGCAGTGGTTCTGATTGTTTAATAGATGTAGTGTTTCCAAAGTTACATTAGACAAGGTAAGTTGCACATAGGACTTACAGTTTAAAAGGGCTTTCTATTGTTGGGCCACCTCATAAGTAGTCTTGACTATCTCTGACTGGCTTTGATTCCTGAGCCAGTCACTTTAAGACCAAGGTAGCAGTGATGTAAGAGGTAAAATTCCCAACCTACTTGATGTCACATGTGCTGAGTTTGTGTCCCTTGAATTGAATGAATTCTAAAGGACAAGGAAGGTTAAGAATAGGAAACATTTATAGAATAGGAATAGCTCCAGAAAGGCAGGAGAGGTCCAAAGTTTGTTGCCTCTAAGTCAGGATCACCAGGTAGGTTTTTGTGGGTAAAACTTTAATCAACCAATGAGATTACAAGTATCTCTTAGCTAACACTAATCTACCAGGGAAGTAGGGAAGCAAGGGCATGAATGACATTAACTTTATGATAATCTATAATCTTTTTATTAATGGGTGTGAGGGGGTTTATGATAATCTAGTCTTAGTGGGTGGGAAAGGGTTTGTGGTAATATTTAGTCTTAGTCTTAGTGGGTGGGAGAGGGTTTATGGTAATCTGTAGTCTTAGTGGGTGGGAGAGGGTGGTCCAGTGAGATAGTGATCTATTTTTATGGAAAATCTCAAGGGAGGTACCAAACAGCATAATCTTAGATTTGTGTTTATCGCTTAGGGAAGCATGTGAATCTGGTTATTGTGATTTCAATCTCAAGGTCTTCCCTTCTTCAGATGCACCTTCAGCCACAGTGGTGATGTGTTCCCATCTCCTGCACTGACGCCCTCAAGGGCCTGTTAATTTGTGTCTGTAGTAGCAGGATTGATGGTATAAGAGCTTTGAGTCTTAACAGGTACCTGCAATTCCTACCCTTTTGTAAAAGCCAAAGGAACCTTATGTAGACCTTGTGTGACTCAAGTTCATCTTGAGTAAATGCCTGTTGTGGGAGCCTATGGGTGACTGGAGTTTATGGATGAGCTTGACGGTGAGGAATCTGGCAATCAAATTGCTGTGTGACCAGGTTCTCAGCTTCAGATTGTTCCCAAACATTGAGAAATCAAGACATCTTCATTGCTTCGAGATTGTCACATATTGAAATATTTAGCCATGTTGAATGTCTTCCTGTTGTAGTGTCTTGCAGTGATGTTACCAAGACCATTGACTTGTCTTAAAGTCCTGGGGATTGGGATTTGCTGAGGCAGCTAAATGACTGTTGAATGTGTTGAGACTGTTGTGGGTGGAATTTTGATCAGGGCACATGCTGCACTGATGGCCTAAGCCCTTCAGTGCACTTGGAACCTTTGAGTAGTAAAAGTGGTTTTCAGCAGATTAAGAGGATAGGCATCCATGGAGTTTGTAGTTACATAGAGGAAGCCCGACTACAAGCATTTTTTGTTACACCAAATGTGTGGCTGGGGATGTTAGTATTTGGTTTGTGGGGTTTTGTTTATTGGTTTTTAATACTCAGTTCTCTCTGTTGTCACTCTTTTTACTGTTCTTTAGCGTTAGCTGTAGTGTAAGAAGGATCATAGTAAGCATGGGAATCAGGACTTTACTCCTGGAGTTTTATTCCTGAGGCTTTGTCTTCTAGGGAGTGAAGCGTTTGCCTGTGGCTCTGTTTGTCCTGAGGGTTTTCAGGACTTTCCTGTTTACAAAGAAAACTTCACAGTGGGCTTTTCCTTACCCAAATGAATTGTTAATCAGTTGTTAGAACTTTAAAGAAATTTGACATGCAATGATGTTTCAACAAGTCTAGCCTCCTGAAATTGGTTAGATTTCAGGTACACCAGTAAGTAGTGAGACTTAAATAAGTGAGATTTGGTGTGTTTGTGTGAATTGATCATGCTAAGATTTTTTTCAAAAGGTAGAATCATGATACAGACATAAAGTGCACATATTAAGATTTTAACTCCTGAAACTAATGGGGAACTGGAAAGGATATTAGAACCTCTTCTCAGATGTCTCAGTCCATTTTCCTGCTACAACGACACCGGAGACTAGGTGATTTGTAATGTACAGAAATGTATTGACTCACAGTTCTGAGACTAGGACATACAATACCAAGGTGCTGGCACTGGCAAGAGAGTCAGTGGGAGATGATCGATAGCTATCAGTAGTATCCACGGTCACTAGTTCCACCAGTAAGGGATCCTCGTGGCTACTCACTTCCCAAAGGGCCCACTTCTTTGAGACAGCCTCTAACTTAAGATGGTTAGATTTAGGAGCTTTTGATGGTTTGAAGCCATGTACATTCTGTAGAAACTGAACTTTGCATTTTGATGTTTTCTTGGGCTAGTGATACATGGCTGGATAAGCTCCCAGAATGCTGAATAGCTATGAGGGGCACGTCCCAGTCAGCCAAAGGTCACACAGGAAGAAGGAGCCAGTGCTTTGTGGTGTTGCTAAGTTGTTCTGTAGGTCACATGTGTTTTTGACTGAGTGTTTCAACTTCTGGTGGGTGTATAGACATAATTTTGTTGTAAGTCAAGGAACATCTGTCCTGTTACGTTAAGAGACAGATGAGGAGTAGACAGCCGGGCCTGTGATCTAGTTGCATGCTGTGCCACTCTGATAAGAGTTAAAATAAGAATAGTCAGGGAAACTAGGACTTTGGCCAGGGAGGTCTGAAGGCCCCAGAGAATATAACCTCAGGGAGTTACAGCCCCTCTCTACTAAGTTCTTGAATTTCAAGGAATCTGAAAATACAGAGTAACCAGTTTTTGTTTAAAATCTCAGTTCCTTTTGAACTGTGCCTGTGATTAATGAGTTTAGAGAGGCTGAGTTCCTGCTGACCTTTTTAAACCCCCAAAGTTGCTTGTGACTGGTGGTCACTAACCAATTGAGCCATTCCTGTGTGAGGGACCATGAGGCACCCTCCTTCCCATCCCAGCCCTTCCTGATACTTTGGACAAGAATTATTTGCTTTGTGAAAAATTTTCCATAAGTTTAAGTCTGTCAAATAGCATATAGTCTTGTGTGATCAGCTGATAAAAGCAGGTTTAGCATTCTATTGAAAAGATTCCCAGGAACATCTTATTTCAATTTTTCTTTTCAGTGTTGAATTAATACTAATACTAAAGTATTAGAATTGTAGGTCATAAGAGATAGTTGTGAGATATGTCTTTATATTAACATTTTTTCCCCCTTGGTACCAGGGGATTGAGGTCACAACCTCACATTTGCCAGGCAGATGCTTATGCCACCAAGCTAAATTCCCAGCCCCTGTATTAACATTTCATGAGTCCCTTTGGATTGGTACTTAATAAATGCTAGTTGCTTCTTCAGTTTTTTTTCTGGTTCATATTAGTTCCTGGCTATTTGGTAATCCCTGGCCTTGCTTTGCTCTTTGTAGCTGAACTGGTCTGCTCATAGGTTCCTTCATCCTTGCAGGGTTGGTATTGCGACACTTGTTTCTTGTCCTCTGTGCTCAGAAAGTGCTCTACATCTATTGCACATCCTTGTTACAGGTGAAGACTTTATCTTACGCTCCTTGCTAAGCTTTTACTTGCCTCAAACAAGGACTCCCTTGGCATTAATTGGACCGATGCTGATTTGTCCTACTATTTTGAAGTTAGATTAGAACCTTCTGTCTTTCGTTGGCCTTGTTCTGGATGGGCCTGATATGTTGCTGAGGTTTTCTGTGCTGTTGCCAACTAGAAGACACTGCCTTCTAAATAAACATAAAACTTGTGTAAAAAGGACTGGAAGCCAGGAACCCCAACTTTCCACACTCATCCAGGCTCTGTTTTCCTAAGGCCTTTTCTTTCTGCCCTCACTGGGGTTGACCAGGGATCTTCTACAGTTTATCTGCAGCTGTGAAGTTGGTATGTGATATGTTGAGCAAATTGTTCCTTTGGCAGAATGTAAGGAGGGAGTGGTGACGTTGACAGTGTCAGCAATGAAAACAGGAGGGCTCTGTTAAGTGCATACTGGGCAACAGCGTAAAGTACAGCTTTGCGCTTCAGTGGTGTGTATCTGTAAAATAGGCATAGAACCAACTTTGCACTTGTTTTGGTGAAATGCAGTCATAATAATTTTCGTAGCTCTAGGTAGGAAAAGGATAAAATGGAATAAAGAATGATATTCTTTTCTTCCCTTTTTTGGCAGAATAACCAAGTACTGGGAATCGGAAGTGGTTCTACAATTGTCCATGCTGTGCAGCAAATAGGTATGTTCTCAGCTTGTGCACTTTGCACATGGCGGCAGGGGTGGGAGGATGGGGGCTCCAGCTGTGCAGAGCAGGGGAGCAGGGGCTGCTTGTCTGAGATTATTTGAATGTTTCTGCTTTTCTCTGGGGTGGGATTCATGGATCCCTTCAGATGACTTTGGGGGTACTCTTGCTTTTGTTTACTCTGTTCAGCTTCTGGGGTGGGTGATGGTGGGGGTGGAGATGGTATACAAAGCAGGACTGTGGAAGGAGATAGAAACAGTGGCCGTGGTGGTAGGAAGGTGGGTGAGAACTGACTGAGGTCCCAACAGTTTGTCGCATTGCTGGTGCATTCCCTCCATGGCCCTGTGTTTGGTCTTGGGCATTCTGTGAAGCCTGTGGGTTCCTCAGGCAGCCAAGGTGAGGTCTTAGTGGGTTTGCTCTGTCCACAACCCTGGAGTAGATGTGGGCACTGGGTTGGGTTGTCTCTCTTTAGGAAAGGCACAGGAACATCTGCCTTGTGGCTGCCCAACAGGTTCTACCGTTCCTTGTCTGTGTGAAAACAAAGCCCCGGGAAAGGTTTACTTAAGTGCAGTGCTGGTGTCTTCCAGGTGCCAAGGGGCAGGGCCCGGGAGCAAAATTCAGGTTCACCTGGTCTCGGAGAACTGGTTGTGGACCATGGCTTCTGGGATCCTGCACAGGGCCGGGCAGGGGCTGTAGAGCTGTTTACCTTGCTACTTAACCAAGTATGTGGAAATTACTGTGACTTCATGAGTGGCACTAACTTTCCAGGGTGCAGATTAGAATGACTTGAAATTTTAATGAGTTATTTCTTTAGGACATACGTATTTTCTTTTTGGTTTCTTTGAAGCAAAGTCTTGGCTATCTACCCTGGCTGGCCTTGAACTTGAGATCCACTTGCCTCATGAGGGCTTCTGCTGCTTGAATTACGTACATGTGTCACTATGCCCAGTTTAAGACATTTTTAAAAGTTAAACTTTCCTGAGTGCTTAAAGTGAATATATAAGCAAAGCCAAAATGAATAAACAAAATCTCCCTTCTCAAGATCCTCTGAGACCTACAAATTGTATTTTTATTCAGTGCAAAAGTAAAGTTGTAACTTTATCTTGGAAAAGACAACTGTAAGATAGTGGTTAGTAAGACTGTAAAGCTAAAGTGCCTAGGATCAGATCCACTCCAGCTCTGCCCCTTTACTACTAGGTTACTACTGCGTTACATACTTTCCTTTCTGTGCCTCAGTTTCTCATCTGTAAAATAGAGATGATAATCCAATCTTGTCTCTTGGGGTAAACACTCATTTATACAAGGTTCTTAACCTGTCTCCAGCCCACAGCAACGGCAGGCGCTAGCATCACTCTTGCTGTGGTGCCCGCACTTACCCTTGTTCCTACTGTACCTGTTACTGGTTTTCATCTCCGGGCAGAGAGGGACACAGAATTTGAACAAAGGGAAAGGAGATAAAGTGAGAAGAGTGAAAACTCACCACTCTACTCTGCCTTTTGTCTTCACAGCTGAAAAAGTGACAAAAGAGAATCTGAAGGTCGTGTGTATCCCTTCCTCCTTCCAGGTGAGTCCTGCTTTCCGGTCCCAGTGTGAGCCCTGCTCAGTCTCAGGTTCCCTAGGACGTGGGCACCTGGTTCTGAGTTGCAGGTCAGGATTGTTCTAGGTGAGGAAGCCAGGCATGGAGAGGAGTTTGTAGATGGATTGTTCTTTGAAAATACGTAAATGTGCTCATCTGTTAATCGGGGAAAATATTTCAGTGGATCTTGAGTTTGGGCTCTGGAGTACTCAGAGGTGATTGCATGATCTCTGTCCTCAAGGAGCACAGTCTTAGCCCTACTTATCCTGCTGATGGGTGAAAAAATTTGAGGATAAGAGGAATTATAGGAACTGGAAGAGGAAAGCAGTGGAGCCATTAAAGACCAGGAGAGATAAGGACACAAGAGCAGACAGTGAGAACAGGAGGGTCGGAGATGTCTGAGTCAGTCCTTTGACTCGCTAGAGAATTCTATTTTAAATGTCTTGGAATTTGCCAGGGTGTCTGTCTTCCGGTTTTTAATTGCTGTTGAGGAGCTTCATACTATTGTGATTGTGAGCCTTTGTATGAAATGTATTTTTAATCTTCTCAGAACCACATGCCCTTCAGGGATCTTCCTTTAGTATGCTGAAAACACTGTGCACAAATGCTGAAAACACCGTGTGCGAATCTGGTTGTATTCAGTGCGATGACAGCAGAGGCTTTAAAAATTCTTATTTTTTCTCTTTGGGACTGGAGACTGAAATCAGAGCCTTTGTACATTTCCAGTCTTCTTCCCACCCCTGCTTTTTAAAAAATTTTATTTCAAGATGAAGACGGTAAATTGCCCAGCCCCTCAGGGTGCTGCGGTTACAGGTGCGTGTCAGCTTGCCTGGCTCCTAGATTTTTTTGTTTATTCCTGAGACAAGGTCTTGCTTAATTCCCCAGGCAGGACTTGCACTTGTGGTCCTTCTGCTTTGGCCTCTTGGGGTGCTGGCATTATAGACATGTACCACCACACCCAGCTTTGAAAGTGCTTTTGCACAGGGTCTTGGTCTCTCTTGGTTCTGGAATATTCTGCCACCGTGTGAACAAGATGAGACTAGCTGACTGGGGGATGAGAAGCGATATGGATGTGGTTCTAGGCAGTGAGTGGGGCCTTCTATACTAACACCTAGTTGCAAAGATTATCCAGTTTGTCCATGGAATCACGAGATTTATAAATAGGTGCTCTTTAAAACCTCTGATTTTCAGGGGTAGCCAGAGCTCACCGAGAGAGAATACTCTTGTCTTCAGTTATGGTTGCCATAACTGAATAGTCCTAAGACTATTTTTCCTTTTTCAAGAATCAATATGCTGCTTTGGGAGGGAAGTCATGTTCTTAAGCAGACTTTGCACCAGCCTTGTGTAATTGCTGTTTCTAACACCACTTCCTGGATCTTTGGGAAGTTGCGCGATGTTGATTTGGTTGCTTTGTAGCTACCTCCAGTACTGGCCTGGTACATCCTCCTTATTTCTGCTGCTCACCAATGTTCATCAGAAACAACCAGTAGGATATATTAATTATAAGGAGGTTTATAGTGATTGGGGCTGCCTAGTCTGGCAGTGGCTGTCTGGAGACTGGAAAACTAGGGAAGCAGCTAGCTGACAGCTTTGTTGGAGAAGCTGAAAGGCTCAGATCTAGAGGACCAGGGATGCAGGGCCAGTCTCAGGCTCAGGCTCATGACGGCCTGGGGCCCCTGGAGAGCTGCATTCAGAGACTGTCCCTCACTGTCCCCGGGGTGAAGCGTGTACCCAGCGTGAACTCCCCATGCCCCTGATGTTACCTTCCACTGGGCCCCAACTGTTCAGGACTGGACTTAGCCCAGCACTTGGGTGACCCAGAGCCAGTCTCCCCTGGATGCCCCAGAAGTGTGCTCTTCCAGGTTTCTCAGCAGTCCCGCAGCCCAGGCAAGCTGACAGCCAGTATTAACTGTCACATGCCAGCTTTTAGAAGTTGCCGATTTCTTTTGTGAGATTTATACCTAAAGTTTTAAAGCTCTTTTGGAAAGTTGAGCTATTCAAGTTGCTATCTTTAGAGTTTGTGACTTTTTAAAAAACAGCAGTCTCTTTACCACCTGTTTTTAGTGGTAATTGATAGTACTGTGTCTAGACTTGAAAACGCTGGCCAATTCCAGTTAATTAGGTGGAGTCATTTGAAGTTCGGATTCACTTGTCTGGTTATTCTCCTTACCACACTGCCCAAACTTTTTTTGAGTTACGTTTAGTCATATATTTATGCCTTACTTGTGTTTTCTTTTTTCTTCTGTTTCTTTTTTTAAAATTTATTTTATTGTTCCTGTTTTCAGAGACAGGGTGTTGCTAGGTGGCTCAGGCTGACTTTGAGGTCACAGTGTAGCCCAGATTGGCCTGGAACTCCATAGTGATCCTCCTGCCTCAGCCTCCCAAATGCTGGGATTACAGGCATGGACCACCATGCCCAGCCCATGGCTCTACTTTTAAAGCAAGTAAACCTAAAAGGATTTAAATGATTTGGTAGATTTTGCTTTTAAAGCCAGAGATTTTTAGAAGAGAAGAATAAAGCATTTGCAAGCCTGGTCTGATCTAAGCCCACATCAGCTTTTATTATTCACTCTGCCTTTATTTCCACCTCGGTTAGGTGATGAAAGGAAAACGCACCATTTTCAGGTTTCATTGTGAAATTCATGGGAACAGGAGACCATTTAACTCGCCTGTCTTGTGCCACCGTTTCGCGGGGGACAGCCGTGGGAATGCAGAAAGTTGTTGCTTCCTGTCTTCAGGGGCACAAGCTTCGCTTTCCCCTCACCCCGCACTTTGCGGCCCCTGGCCAGGAGGGGGCGCACCGTGTTTGCTGCACCTTTGGGAGACCCCTCAGCCCGCCTGCGGGAGACAGCTGGGGGCTCGCAGGTGCTGCCTGGGTGGGCTCCTCAGGCTGCCTTGTGCTGGGTGATAGGTTGTGGCTCCTGCAGTGCCGTGTGGAACCCAGCATGTTAACCAGAGCAAGGGACCAAGGGACCGTGGCTGAGTGAGATGTTTCTTCTCTCCCAGTTCTGAAGACCGAAGTCCAAGATGGAGATGCTGGCAGTGTTTCTTTCTGAGGCTGCTTCCACCAGGGGCTCTTGTCTCTAGTGGAGCTTTTGGCACAACACCAAAAATAGTTATCTGACTTTCCAAGAAATCAGCATAAGGGTTAACAGCAGACTTTCTTAATTAAGCAGGCCAGTTTCAGTTGGCATGGATGATGGTGTTCAGCTTTAGACAAAAAGTACAAGTGATTCTACTGGATTATTTCTCAATTCCTATATGTACTATTTATATTTTTACCTTCCCCTTTATATTTCTCTTTAATAAAAACAAAACCATGAAGGTTTAAAAATTTTTATTTTTGTTTTTGGAGACGGTCTTGTGTAGCCCAGGCTGGCCTTGAACTTACTACCTCAGCTTCCTGAGTGCTGCGATCATAGACACATTGTCACCATGCCAGGCAATGAATTTTTTTGAACATTTTATTTCAGCTTTTTATTCTGGGAAATTTTAAATTTCAGCAAGGATAAAAACACACTGAAATAAATTTCAGAGTACTAATCATGAAGTTTCAATCGCCAACTTGTGGCCAATTCTGTTTCATCTGTACCCCATTCCTTTCTATCCCCATTATTTCAAAAATAATTTCGAGGCATAATTTTATTAAATATACTTTGTTATGTTTCTGAAAAATAAGGCATCTTCTATCACAACAATGTGTTAAAATTAAAATATCCTTAATAACATCAAATAAAAACAGGGCTCACATTATCCTTTAAATTTTAAGTTTGATTCAGAATCCCAGATAAGACCTACATGTAACAAATCCTACGCATAGCATTTTATTCTGAGTGTTAGGAGTTTTGATTAAAGGCTGGCCTTGGTTATCCTCCTCCTGTCTGTTTCCTTTTCTACTTCCCTCTCCCCACACCTTTCTTTTGTTCTTTGTGATGTGGACTCAGTGCCGCTCATAGGCCAGGCAAGCTCTGTACTGCTGGGCTATACCCCTAACTCCAGTCTCTGGCTTCTTACTGAGAAAATTTACCAAGGCCCTATGGCAAGTTTATCTAATCTTAATTGACACATAATTTTATGTGTAGAGTGCAGTGTGATAATACATATGCACAATTTGTGATGATCAAATAAGGGTAATTAGCATTTTTCTTTTGGTTGGGGCCTTCACAGACTTTTCTTTTTTTTTATCGGTACGGGGGATCGATCACAATGACCACCTGCTTGCAAGGCAGGTGCTTATGCCGCTGAGCTAAATCCCCAGCCCTATTCACAGACTTTTCTTACTATTTCAGACATAGTAGCTCTGAACTATAATTATTCCTCTGTAGAACACTTGAATTTATTCTTTATGCTTCATTTTGAAGGAGGACCAGGGGCTCTTGTCTCTAGTGGACAGAGAGCCCTGGGCATTTGGCCTGCTTAGTTTTTATTTACTTAGGCACAGAAGCAAGCAAATGGGGTATCAGAAGATTAACCTGCCTCTATTTGTAGTATATGGCCAGGTAAACATTTGGATCTCAGCTGTATTGGCTAGTCCCTGGATCTTGGAAAGTTCCAGCATGTGTGCACTTCCTAGGAGGAGCACAGCCTGGTGTTCTGTATGCTCACAGAGAAGGTCATTTAGGTCTCAACTCTCATTATCTGATCTCCTCTAGATGTCATGTATTTTACCCAGCAGTGGGGAAGTGAATAAGGATTTTTTTCTTTATTGTCTGAATAATTTTTCATTGTGTTTATATCCTACATTGTTTTCATCCATTCATCTGTCAGTGCACACCAAGTTGATTCTAAATATTAGCTGTGGTAACAAGCACTGCCATAAACACCGGAGTGCAGGTTGAACTTTGATATACCGATTTCCTTTGCTTTGGGTGTGTGTTCTCTAGCAGGACAACTGGGTCAGGTGGTAGTTCTACTTAATAAAGAAGTTCTTTGCTTTCCACAGTGGCAGCACTGGATGAGAGTTCTCTTTTTTGTGCATTGTGTTCTTGAAGATTAGAACCAACATCTGATAACAGGACCTAACTGCCTGTTTGAGGGGTACGGTGAAGGATAAAATAAGAAAGGGACAAATTTAGTAATGCATAGTAGGGGGCTGGGAGGTCAGTGCCTTAGGATGGGCAAAGACCCAGATACTCCAAACCAGCCACTGTTGGGTGTGTATAATACAGTGGGTGTATATAGTGATAGGAGAGGGTAATGAAGGTTCAGAGGTCAGTGACACTGCAGGCAACAAATAATCCTAGGATAACTCAAGGTGGGGATGATCTTATGCTAAGAAGGATCTTGTTTGAGAGTGTTTTTTTTCATCTTAGTAGTCTTAGTGGATGGGAGAGGATGGCCTATCCCAAGAGTTATGGGAAGTTTCAAAAGGGTGATACCATGATCCCAAGCCTCCATTTATCCTTTAGGGAAGTATGAAAAATTAGCTATGGGGACCAGGCCAAGGTCCCTAATCTCCCAAACAAGTGTATGGTGAAGGTTTAAATAAATGAGACAAGTGATGTGATTTTAGGGCTCCAGGAGGATCAAAATCCACTAGCAGAGTTCGAGACTGGCGGCTGAGACAGGGAATGTCTTTGGGCAGCCAGTATCTATTCAAATTTCAAAAACAAGGAGTTAGAGTAGAAAGTGAAAACTGAGCAGGACCTTGGGAGTGGTTCAAGGACTTTTCTAAATATCAGACTATGTTAATTTAGGAGAACTATCTTATGTTAATTTAGAAGAATGTTAGAAAATCTTCAGGTTAACTTCCACTACAAGAGAGAAATGCCTGCAGATGCAGTCTCAATCTTGTTAATGGGGGTGGAGTCAGGTGTCCTCAGCTGTAGCCTTATCTTGCCCTTTGAGACATCTCTTTGCTCTGGGTTGGCCATGCCCTGGCAATGCCCCAGCCCTGCGTGTGTATTCAATTTCCATCTTTAACAACTCCCAACAATTAGCCATTGTGACTTTGTGGTTTCTAATAACCTGAGTATTAATCACAGGTACTTTTCAGTTTAAGCAGGAAATATTTTAAAGAAACGTTTTTGAGGAAAAAGTTTTCACTCTTGGTTTCCCTGCACACTATAAGTAATGATGTGAACACAGACCCTCATTGTGTGGATCTGGGTGGACCATTGCAGAGTCACACAGCATCATTCTTTTAACCAGGACTCCTTCTTGGGCCACCTGTGAGGCCTGTCACTAAAGTAAATGGTATGCTTTCTAGAAGTTAGAAATCTCTACTAGTCTGATGTTCTAAATTTGCAAGTTCCTCACTTCACCATTCCAAAAGTCTTGCCTCTGAATATACTTCTTTCCTTATTTTTCCTCAACAGTGTGGCCTCGTAATCACTGTCAGTTCAACCTTTTTTGTACTATTGCAGTGTTCTAAAAACTTTGAATTTTTTGTTCATAGAAAAAAATTTTAAAAACATGTATTGCTGGAAGTTTTAAGAGGCTGTGGCACTTTCTGAAGCAGCAAATCACGGAATAGGTACTCTTAACATGAATGTGGGCTTCACTGTGTGCTGTCTGCCTTCTCCAGCTCCTGGGCTGGATTCATTGACAGGCAGTTTTGCTGTTCATGGGATGGTAACTCTTCTTGGCAGAGCAGGATGAGATTTGAGAAGAACCATGGGCCGGGCTTACTCTATTTGATAAATACAAAAAAGGAATTCTGAGAATCTTTGCCATGCATTCAGAGCAAATGGCTACAGGAGATTTTTCTTGTGCTCCCTAGGCCCGGCAGCTCATCCTTCAGTACGGATTGACCCTCAGTGACCTGGATCGACACCCACAGGTAAGAAAGCAAATGAGCAAGCAAGAGACTACTATACCTTTCTCCTTTTGTGACTGAGTCTTGCTCATGAGCTCCATTACCTTGGTACTTAGAGGAATCAGACCAGTGAGTCTTGCTAACTTTTCTTCTGGGATCCTGATTATTAATTTTGCCTAAGGTCTTAAGTGGCGAGTGGTTTCCAGTTGTGCTGTGAGCTGACCCTGAGGGCTTGGCTTGAGTGCAGTGAAGGAGAGTAGAGAAGCCCAGTGCTGGTCCAGGGCTGGCTTTCTCTTACGAGCAGGCTATGGAGAGGAAAGGAAGGTCATCCTTTGAGGTGACCACACACATTTGGAAAGTAATTAAGTTTTTCAGGAAGGAACTGTTAAACACAGGGGCAGAGCAGCCAGAAGTGATGAGGATGACTGGCATCACACATCTACTAGCTAGTGCTTTCTGGGTCATTTTTATGTATCAGGTATTGTGTGAAATGCTTTTCCTGTATTAAGATCTTTAATCTCCAATACCCTGGATTGTGGGTAACATAACTGTCCAATTTTATGGTTATAAAAAAGGCACAGAGAGGCTAAGTCATTTGCTGAAGGCCATACTGTAAGTGCAGAGCCAGATTTAGAACCAGTGCACTTCTGTTCAGGGCAGTGCTTATAGTATTTTGAGGGAAGAGGTGGTTGGAGCTGAACTATAAGGCTGTGGGGCAGTGGCAGGAGAGGACATTCCTGGGAGGTAAGGTCTGTGAATATTGTGCGTGCATGTGAGCAATGCCTAGTTTTGGGGTATGATTTGGACCGAGTGAGTGGGATGCACTCACTCACTGTGCATTGGTGCATAGTGGACCAAGAGAATGGGATTTGGTGTGGCCTAACCCAAGGTACCCAGGGGCCTCAGGGTTAGTCAGAACCATGGGAGGGCTTATGGGAGTTTCTGTGGGAAGAGCTGGGGCACAGGCTGAATCAGCTGTCTATAGCTGTGAGGAACCTCCTTCGGGCTGAAGGTGGGCTCCCAGCCAGACAGAAAAGGAGACACCTCCCAGGTCCTGGAGCAGTGCAGGCTGCAAGTTCAGGGTGGGAACAGTGGTGCCCTGCATAAACTTTCTGAGCTACACTGGCCTTGTGGAGTACCTGCAACACGAATAGGATGTGTCTCTTACTGCTTTTAAAAATCAACACCAGAACTCTGCACATCCACACAGAGTACCACGAGGGATGAGAAGGCCAGCTTCCTTGGTTCTGATTTTTGAAAGCAGAATTAACCCATTTAATGCCCTTGACTACTTTGGGACTGGCAGTGGAGCCTCCTCCTAAGGGATGGGGCAAGACCAGGCAGTTGCTTTGGCGGGATCTCTGTGGGACACCTCAGGTGGTTTCTACCTCGGGAACATAGCCACTGTGCCAGCCTTTGAATCAGTGTTTCTCAGCGTTTTCATTGACTCCATTCCCCGTGGGATTTAATACCACAGACACCCTGTTCTCTCTCTATATCCTGTGGCCCTTTTGAGGCTTGAGTATGATAGGGGTTTCTCTGGCCTCACTCTGCAGCACGGGGCAGATTTTGCTTCTTAGGGAGCGATGCTACCTGCACTGGCAATGCATGCTCTTACGGTTAAGGTCCCAAACATGGAGCTCCTTTCCCTGTGACCCTCATGGAGCAGCCTAATATTTCAGAACCTGAGGCCTTGGTGAAGTGGGAAACTGAGGCTCACTAACAGGGTTGTAGAGAGCTCCATAAGTTGTCACTGCATAAACAGGCTCGGTGCAGTGGCTCAACTCCTGAGACGCTCAACAGTTTTGTAACTTTGCTTCTCCCAACACAGATTGACCTGGCCATAGATGGTGCTGATGAAGTAGATGCTGATCTCAATCTTATCAAGGGCGGCGGGTGAGTGTTTCAGGAACTTTAAAGACTGCAGTGTATCTGGAGTAAAGCAGATGGAATTTAGAATTGCCAAATTGTCACTGCCCTGACAATTTGTCTTTCTACTTGGACCTTATGATCTTTGTGTGTACTTGACGTTTCTGGTGAGTCATGTCAGTCTAGTGGGTGACTGGGAACCTTCTCCCATTGGGTAAGACTATACACCTTATGTGTTTCCGCATTTTTCAGCTACTCAGACTAAAAGTCTGAGTTGTTAGCTCTGTGGGCGTTGCATTGTGAGCTTTGCCTTGGAGCTGCTGTTAAATCTGTGTTTTGGGTTGTGATTCATTCATTTGGAAGCTGTTTACTGGGTGTTTAAGTGCTAGTTTCAGGAATAGGGACTGGTGAGTGGAAAAGGTAAAATCCTGATTTGCTGGTTCTTAACAGTCAAGCAGATTAGTATTGAATGACAGTGTTTAGAATCACACTGTAGTTATTGTCTAAGATTTTCATGAATTGTGTAACCCTCCTGGCTGCAGCTGTGAGGTCGTGTGGCTGGTGAGCAGCAGAGATAGGCTGCACCACATCTGATGATTCAGTGCCTGGGGCTCTCTCCACTCCATCACCCTGTCATGCAGTCCACAGGGCAGGCTGTTCAAAGCTGGCCCTTATCAGGCCACGGCCAGGATGTGCTTTGGCAAACAATGCTTCTCACATGCATCTTGGAGGTGGCGGTTCCTGTCCTGAATGGGACACATTGTCCGCTTTCTAGGTTTCCCCTAGACACTGACTAGAGTTTCTGTGTCCATTTACTAGAGGCAGCATAGATGGCCCATGCAGTTCAGTTTCTCTGAGTAGGACTGAGCACATTTGGTGTTCCTGTATCTGACCATAATTCCTAAATTCAGATTTTTTTTTGCTTTGCCTCTTTACCAACCTTAGGGGCTGCCTGACCCAGGAAAAGATTGTGGCTGGCTACGCCAGTCAATTCATCGTGATCGCTGATTTCAGGTAGGGACTGGGTGTTCTGAACTGCCTGTTGATTTCAGGTAGGGACTGGTTGTTCTGAACTGCCTGTTGATTTCAGGTAGGGACTGGGTGTTCTGAACTGCCTGCTGATTTCAGGTAGGGACTGGGTGTTCTGAACTGCCTGCTGAGGTGTCTCGGGGCCTGCTCCTTACCCTGTACATAGAGGAGGAAATGGAGGGACTGCATAGCTTTCTCTGGCTGATGGCACAGATTCAGGCAGTGTCTGTGAGGGCTCAGTCCTGCTTGAGTGCTGAAGCTGAGTATCTCTGATTGACCACAGCACTCTCATGCAGAGCCAGGTCCTCCAGTGCAATGGTGTGTTTACAGGGAGGAAGAGAAAGCAGTTTGTGGGCCTGTTAGCAGAGCTCATCCTTGTGTCATGGCTTGAGTATTACGTCTTCCCAGGAGTCTTCCAGGCTGCAGGGTGGCCCTGCCCAAGGCGGTGACTCAGTGCCCAGCTGCTTCTGGGGTCAGGCTGCACACATGACTCAGTGAACAGCCTGGGGCTCCCAGGCAGGTGCTCGCTCTTTCAGGGAGTCTGAAGAGAGGCCTGGGCTGAGCATGCTCACTACAAGAAAGTATGTGTATGTGTTTATTTAGGAAACATAGCTGTGGGAATAACATAAGTGTACTTATAAATACATTAAAATAAATAAGGCCCTGGGGTTTAGCTCAGTGGTGCAAGTGCTTTCCTGATAAGTGAGAGAGGTCCTGAGTTCAATCTCCTGTGCCAAAAAAAGAATGTTTATAAACAACCATATCAATTTTAAACATTTTTATCACATTTATATTAAATATCTCTGAAGTAGTAAAGCAGCCAGTACCTTTAAAGCCCCGTGAACATTCTTCCAGTCCCTTGTTTTATCCTCCTACCGTCTAATTAACTCCATTCTGGAACGTAGTGTTCATCTGTACTGTTAAGTTGATTTAATTTTATTATGCCTTTTGAATATTTTTGCGCAGGAAAAATTCTAAGAACCTTGGGGATCATTGGCACAAGGGAATCCCTCTTGAAGTCATCCCAATGGCCTACGTCCCAGTGAGCCGAGCTGTGACCCGGAAGTTTGGGGGTGAAGTTGAGCTTCGGATGGCCGTCAACAAGGCAGTAAGCAGCCAGGAGGTTTCTAAAGGCCTTGCAGAGTCCATGCTGCTCCTGGCGGACCCCTGGAGCCTTTGTTTATTTACTGTTTGTTCTTAGAGATCTGGATTCCTTGTCTCTGTGTTCCACCTGATAGTACGCTGAGACCTACTTAGCACAGCGCCTGTCTCCTCTATGAGAAAGGGGAGTGATTGTTTCTTTTTGTCTCTTGGCTTCAGACATTTTTCAGGTGATCTGACCTTTGTACCCTAGGCCTGAGTCGCCTGATGAACAGCTGACAGATGGCTTTAGAATGTTCCACATAGCAGATAGTATTTCAGGCTTCATGGTATAATTTTTTCTATTTTCTCTACTTCTGTGCAAACAATGTGACAGAAAGAAATTTTTCTTGGGTTACACGAACTGTATACCTTCTTCAGGTATACAGTAGACCCTTCAGTCCAGATGGTTCTTTTTAGCTTCTAAAATGGGTTGCAGAGAACTTTGTCTGTATATATTTAAATAAGCAATGGTAAAATAATCTGAAACAGAACTATAGTTCTGTGTGTAACTGTGTAGAAAGTTAGGAGGACTAAGAACAGAAATGATTTGTAGCTGTGCTCTGATGTTTTCATTTCCACCATTTTCCCCCGCTGTGTCAAATGTTAAGCTGCCACAGACCTGGTCCTGATGATCATACTGGCTCTGACGGATGCCGTGTGGCTGACTTTGCAGCTGTAGCTGGAGGCCAGGAGGAGGGTGTGGAGTTTCTGGGGTTCACCCTGCAGGAGCCCCAGCTCTCAGCCGCCCTGAGCTCCTCTGAGCTTGCACTCCTCTTCCTGCAGTCTGTTTCTTCAGTTTTCTCACCTGTGACTTTGGTGCTCTGTGCGCATTTGTGACTGCCCCCTGCCTGTGTGACCTCTGACCCTATCTCCTCTGCACCCTGTCTTTTTTTAAAAAAAATTTGTGTTAGTGCCTACTCATTTTATAGTGTATTTTGTTCTAGTGTGGTGTATTCATGTATATGGTTGATAAGTTTTGATCATGTCCATCCCCCATTATCCCTCTTACGCCAGTGGTCGTCCCCCTTTTTACTTCATGCCATCCTTTTTGGAGTTCACACATTCCCTGTCTCTTGATGGACTTCCTGATCCATCAAGGTGAAGCAGCGTTGCCCTAGTTTATGTTACTGATGGCACTTAGTAAAAGGTTTTGAGGTTTTGAGAACGTTGTGCCATGTTGGTAATCGCTCTGTAAGCTATCTTACGACATACACGTCACTGTCCCCCTTTGCAGTTGAGAGACATGAGGCTCACAGAAGGTGATGGTTCCTTTCGGTTCCATTCCTGTGTGGCATCAGTTCTCAAATCTGAGTCTTTGTGCCTCCAAAGCTTTGCTGCCTCCAGCCACTGCCTTCTAAGAGGTGCAGAGTGGGAGTGCTCCCTGCAGCCCACCAATCTGTGTGCTTGGCTCTGATTAGTACCTTCACTGTCTTGTCTTTCTCTGCCTACCTGGGTCTCCATCCTTGGTCAGTGTGCAAAATTATCTTCTAGGGTCCTGTGGTGACAGATAACGGGAATTTCATCCTAGACTGGAAGTTCGACCAGGTGCACGAATGGAAGGAAGTGAACACAGCTATCAAGATGATCCCAGGTAACCTCAGTGCTCTTCCTAATTCCCTTCCCCTGGCCGCTGGAGGCACAGCACGGTCGGCTTTTTAGGCTTGGTTGGGAAGCTGAGTTGCATACCATGTTTGGGATGGTAACTGGAACTCCTTTCCCCCGAAGGATTGTTGTTACTTAGAAGTTTTGGTGTGTCTTCCAGCATGTTTGAATTGGGACAGCCCTGGGGCTGATGGAGGTCAGAGAGAATGTGCCTTGACATAAGGTCCCCCCATCCCTGGAGGCCTTTTCTTCTAGGAGCTTGACTGCAGACTCTTGGTCTTGCTTAAGCAGTGGGAGAAGATGATTCAGTTGACCCCTCTCTGTTGGCTACACATGGGCACAATGTCAGGGCACATTGTGTAGGATGCTCTGATCTGTAGCTCGTGGAATCTGTCCCCAGGAGAGCTCATGTATGCTTAGGAAAGCTACGTGGCAGTGGGGGAGCCATGCCTGCTGATAAGGTGGAGGGTGCTGTTTCTTTAAGAGGAACACGAGGCACTTAGAACACAAGGGATGCTTCTTTTGGAAAGTGACACAGTTCTGTGGGAGAGAAGTGACAGGGGCATATCATTATCATGTAGGTGTAGTCTAAACACTGAGCTAAGTGTTTCAGAAGGCTCATGGGTTCCCCTGTGGGTAAGCTGGGGGTGAGGGGAGTTGTAGCCCCAGTTTGTTGTTGTTGTTGTTGTTGTTGTTGTTGTTGTTCTTTTTGTGTTTTTGAGTAGGATCTTGACAAATTGCTAGGATCAGATTTGGAATCCTGCTTCAACTTCCCAGAAAAACTCTTCAGTTCCACTTTAATCTTCTGTTGCCCTTCATTACTAGATTTTTTTTTAAATCAAAGATGCACAGATTATCTTTTTTAAGGGATAACTAAGTTGCCAGGAAGGTGGGAAAGATGAATGTGGAGGTCACTGGCAATAAAACCCAAAAATTTGCTCCTGACAGTAATGCAGACCAGGGGACCCCCTAGGAAGCTACCCTTCCTCCGTAGGTTAGTTTCCTGTGCTTGGGGTGAGAGGGGAGGGGGTACCCGTCTGGTCTGTCTCATTAGTCCTCCCCTGCTGAAAACATAGCACTGCAGGTTTGCTGGAAAGGAAATGCTGCCCATAACAGCCCTGGCGGCCATGTGCTTTCAAAGGCTTAGTTCCTCAAGGTGCCTCCCGGCTAACTCTAGGCAGTCTCAGAAGGCTCTGAGGGCCTGCAGTGGGCTTCCGTCCTGGTCTGGAATTCCTGCAGACACCGTGTTCTTGTCTCAGGGCTGGATCCCTGTCCCCTGGCACACCATCAGGCTAGGGATTCTGAATTCTCTGTTCCTAGCCTTCGAGGAATCTTGCCTGTCCCCTCGCTCCCAGAGAGGCTGTCCTTTAGGGAACTCTCCACAGCCTGAAGGGCTGCAGGAAGAACCATGTGCAAATCCGTGCAATTATTACTGCTTTTGGATTAGGCAGTAGTGATTTTGCTTCGCATTCAGACAGTACAAACCACAGAGAAATTGATCAGTTTGATGATCAGATAGTTAGATGAAGGTCCTTATCACAGATGAAAGGTCTTTATCACAGGTACTGCCAGATGAAGAGGTACACTCACTTTAGGAGTTGGATGGCCCATGTTCTGTTTCTCTGCGTGTTTAATCTTGGAAAGAATTTTTGGTTGGTGTACCACTCCCCCACACCTTTGTTTTCTTACTGTTAAAAAATGCTAGCTGTGCTTCTATTTTACATTGGCCTTCAAGCTTGGGCTAATCTCTCCAGGGTGCTGAGGAGTGTGCTACCTGTAGAAATGATTGTGTAGGTGGGTTTCCTGATGTGCCCGCTAGGGGGCTCTCTTGCATTCCTCTGGTCTGTATTGGCTTGCTGACTCTGGAAGTGTTCCTACTTGTTTGTAGAGACCACATCTGAGGTGTCCAGAAGGTTTTTTTTTTTTTTAAATTTAAAGTCAATAAAAAGTGGAGGCTACCTATTAAGTCACATAGTATGTTATTAACAGGTCCGTTGGAGTGGTTTGTTGTCTCCTCTTTCCTTTTCCTAGTTGTGCTCATTAGATGCGCTGTTGGGCCAGCCTCACAAGAGGAGCAGGACAGGGTTTCCTGTTAGCCCAGTTGCCCCCATCCCCGGTACATCTGCATACGTGAGGACACTCAGGGAGCAGGCGCTCTTTGATGGTTCCCTCCCTTAGCCGTGTTCACTTCCGGCGTCCTCTTCCCTTTCCACCTGCCTTATCTGGGCCCGGGGAGTAGTCACCCTGGAGCCCCACTCAGGTGGCTGGCTCCAGGATCATGCCTTAGACCTCTCCCCGCTCTCGGGCTCTTTCTTTGAAGCCTTTTTAAAGCCCATGTGACTTTCCAGAGACGGTGGGGCTTGTGCTGTCCTCTCACCTACAGGAGGCTCCAGGGGCTGGGCCAAGCTTTGTGTTTGGACCTCCACCTTTGAGTGACTCCTGCCCCTCTTTATGAGCTTATTGAGACCTGCCTCTGAAGGTTTTAATTTTATCCTTTTTACCTTGTTGAAAATTAAAAAACATGACAGTTTTTCCTGTGAATCTTATTCTTTTAAATTTTTTTTTAAAGATAGGACATTGCTGTGTAGTTCAGGCTTGAACTTGTGGCAGTCTTCTCTCTCAGCCTCCTGCATCCTGGGATTACACACATGCCGCACCACATCCAGCTCCCAAGGTCATCTTTCCTACCCCTGTCTCCCCAGGCAGTTTTTTACCTTGCCTAGAGGCAGCATTTTTGTTATCAAGTCATCTTTTTTGAGGTGGTTTCATAGATACCCAAGTTCAAACTCCCCTGCAGACCCCTTTTTATCTAGATGACATCACACTACATGTAAATTCTGTTCCGATCTCTTGTTTTTGTGTTTTGTGGGAAAAGGAATAAACCCAGGGCCTTTGCACTGAGCTACATCCTCAGCCCTATACTGGTTTATCCTTCTGCCAGCAATATATTCATCTCTGGCTTCCTCCATGTGAATTTCATGAAACCTTTTTATTGGTAACTTGTTGTGTGCATGTGTGTGCACATGGTGCATGTATATGAACTACAGTAGACACAGTTTCAAAAAGGAAAAGCACTACTCTGAATACCATTTTTGAGAAAAACCAAAATGTGGCTCATTCTCGTTGCTGAATGGTATTGCATTGTGTATAGTTTATCCAATTCTACTCTTAATGAGCATTTGGTTATTTTCAGTATTTAGCTATTAGGAAGAGTGCTGCTACTGGGTGTGGTGACAATTGTCTGTAATCCTAGCACTTGAAAGGCTGAGGCAGGAAGATTGCTGTGAGTTTGAGGCCAACCTGGGCTACATGATGAGTTCAAGAACATGTATGAACTACATAGACACAGTCTCAAAAAAGACAAGTGCTACTATGAATACCTTAGGATTTTTTTAAGTGACCATCTGATTGCCTGTCTAGGAGTAGGACTGCTGTGTGGTTAGATGTGAACATTAGATGTGATTAACAAAATAGTGAATTTTTAAAATTTTATTTTAAAGAGAATAAAACCAAACAAAATGAAACAAAATAAAGTCAATCAAAACAAACAATGAGAGCGATACAGGATGTCAAAACCAAGGTAATAGGAAATCAACAATGGCTACCGTAATATAGCTGTCCATACCATCAGACATAATAGGTTCGAACAGAACAAAACAGAATCCAGCCAAACCAACTAAACAATGAAAATACAGGACTTTAAAGCAAGGTAATAGGAAATTAACCATAGCCATCACCTTCCCTTTTTAGATAATTCTTTGTTTCACCTTCACAATATAATAATGTTTTAATTAAAAATTTTTATTACAGTAAAAGACACTGATGTAATCCCCTTCAAAATACCTCCTGCTTAGAAAACACTTATCCTGTCATTCTTGGTACTTTCTAAAGAGGTTTTGAAGTCTTGTTTTGTGAGCATCTTTAGTTACACCATTGTGGCTATCTCAGTGTGCTGACTGAATTCAAAGCATTTATATGTCATCATCGTTTTGAGTTTGGGGAGGATCCCGAAGTTGCTCGGTGCTACATCGGGTGAGCAGGTGGGTGAGGACACGCTGATAATTCCTGTGGGCCTACCTTTCCGCTGGATGGCTCTCGGCAGCAGTATTCACTGTACATGTATTTTTTGGTCACACCTTGTAAAGACACTTATGAAAGAAGACTTCTAGAATTTGCATCATAAAGTAGCAAGGACAATGGGATAAGTATTTTTGAAGTGAAGGGGAGAATTTTGAAGGAGATTATAGGAATGTTTCTTTTATTGTAATAAGTTCATTGTACATTTTGATCATAGCTCGTGTGTTCAGTTTTAGAAATTGTACTAGCAAACATTTGCCAACGTGGCTTTGCTGTTTGCCCTCCCCACCGGTGAGGCTGCCTTTTCAGCCTAGCTGGCTCATTTTGGTGAGGATACAGCAGGGAGGCAGAATGGTCATTTGTTTTCACAGCGTCCTCAGTTCCAACATGGTGTGGATCTCAGGAGACACTGCTAGTTCTCCCCCTGGAAGGGCTGCAGTCTGCCACCCTGCATCAGCTTACCAGGGAGGGGAGGTGCTGGCTTGGCTTCCCAGAGTCCTAAGTTCCAACATGGCGTAGATCTCAGGAGACACTGCTAGATCTCCTCATGGAAGGGCTGCAGTGGGCCACACTACCGCCGCTTACCAGGGAGGGGAGGTGCTGGCTTCGGATGGCTGTTTCTTTAAAGTACTTGTCTTTCATTTTTCTGTTGGATTGTCTGTTTCTTAGTGACTTGAGGACTTTTTAATGCATTTTGATGTGTTCTTTGGTCATGTGTGTGCTTTGCAAATATCTCTTTCCACTCGAGGAAGTCTTACAGATCTGGTCATGTGATGGGAGATAACTGGGAGCAGAGCATGCACACAGCAGTTATGTGGTGTCTGTCTGGAGGATGACTTGGATATATCAAAGGGTAGCGAAGAGCAACCCCTAGAGTGCGTGAAGATGACCATTCAGGCAAAGGGAACAGCACCAGCAAAGGTGCTGAGGTGGGACAGAACTAAGGGACAGGAATAACAGCACTGTGGGATGGGGAAAGAGGCCACAGGAAGAAATGAAGGCAATGGAATCCGTGCGCTGCCCAGTGGGAGAAGGCTTTAGACTTGTCATTTGTCCAGTGTTACGTACGCTCTTTGCTTCCAGCCACTCTGTGGTGTTCAATCCCCCTCTCACCCTGGAAGGCTGAACACTGAGGCACTCTGCATCCTCTGCCCTGCAGGTGTGGTGGACACGGGCCTGTTCATCAACATGGCGGAGAGAGTCTACTTCGGGATGCAAGACGGCTCGGTGCACCTCAGGGAGAGGCCTTGCTAACCCTGCAGGGAGCAGAATGCTTTCTTTAGGCTCCAGCATTCCAAGGTGGACGTGGTACCTCCTGGAGCCTTCGCCTTAACGTGTCCTGCTGGGTGGACAGCTGGCTGTGGGCAAGGGCAGTGGATTAAACCCAGTCTTAAGTATTGTTATTATATGTCTTTTTTAAAAGAAAGCTTTAAACATATATATTTTTACTATTAAACATACTGTTTTTTATAAAGTAGAACTTGATTTCATGTTTTGTATAAAATATTTATCAAAAAAACAAATTGGAGGGGAGGAGGGGGATGGGATGGTCTGACACTTCTGAGCCTGTTGGTTGAGGTTCTGAACATTGGCTTTGCTGAGATAAAAAGCAGAACTTTCCTTTACATTGGTGAGATGAAGGCCCTACCGGCGGTGACCTCCTGATGCCCTTACAGGAAACTGTTTACTTGTCTGCCACTTTGTATTTTGTTTTGTTTGTTCACTTAGGTAGCTTTCATTATGATCACGCACAATTCCTGCTTACATTTTAAGATCAAGTTTACAGAAATCTGAGGAGAGCAGTGCGGAGTGTAGGGACTCCAAATAGGAATTAGCAGGGCGTTCTCTGCTCCCTGCTGTTGGAAGCCGTTGGCGGAAACACTTGCCCAAGCACCGCTATGAAATGTGAAGTACTTGTTTTTTGTTTTCAAATGATTTTCTTTGTGTTGTTTTTGTTGTTGCCCCATTAATGTTGCATGGTTCCTTGTCAGAAGCCGTCACCTATTTATGTTGTTTGAAGGTTGAAATAAAACGTTATTATGCCATTTTGACTCTTTGTCTTTACTATGGAATCTGCAGAGATGGAGATCTGGCCCCTGCCAGTCTATGTCAAGTAAGGAAGGGGTGGAAATCTTGTGCCACAGACTCGGGACTGGTGAACGAGGCTTTTTCTGGAAGAGTTTGACTTCTACATGAGGGTGACACAGCTAAACAAAATAATGGAATCAAACTTCTTTAGTCATGAAGGCTGCAGCACAGTAAAACAAGGAAGCCGAGCTTCCCTTTTGGCCTGGGAGGCAGCAAACTGTCCAGGGACAGCTCAGTAGGCAGGGAGAGGAAGGGTGTGACCAGCTCTGCGATGATTCTAGATCCAGACGGGCCCCAACAAATCTATATAGGCCAGCAGTTCTGTTGTTAAGGCCTTTATGTGAAGAGCCCTCCTTTTCCCCATGCTGGTTTTGCAGTGTTTGGAAACTCATTTCCTCAGCTGACCCTGTTGGGAAGCTTGAGCTCTTAATTAAAGCACAGAATAAAAGTTAATCAGGACTGGGGCCTGCAGAGGCCTCTCCTTGCTTCCTTTACTCCTAAGTCCCCAGGAGCTGTGGCACACGTGGTGGGGAAGGTGTTAGTGTTGCTTTATTTTTCCTTTAGACTTTGAGTCAGATCATTTTTACACAAAATTGGGCTCTACATCTTAGCAGAGAAACCCCAGCAGAACAAATTTTGCAAAATAATCCGGTTTTCGTGGCATGGACTGAATTCATGAGGTAAACAAGGTTAAACTTGGCTTCTGAAAAACACCTGCATGCACCACATCACATGTAAATGCTCTGTGGCTGTCACAGCGTATGCACCTGTGAGCAGACTGCAGGTCTTCTGTGTTGTAAGGTTTTTCTTATGAAATCAAAACATCTGCTTTACCTGAGGTGCAGGTTGCTGGAAGTAAATCTTGATTAAGGATTTCTCAATAAAATTACTAAACACAACCCTCCTGGCAATAACTTGGGTGAAAAAAACAAGTTTCTTAATATACATCACCAATCTGAAGGGCACAGGATAGGCTGCCAGTGTGTTGTGTCTAAAACAGGTTGCTCCCACCTCTAAAGCCTCTGGAAGAAAATCGGATTTGAATAAAATTTCATTTAGTTTCAATTAGAGCTCATACAGTTTGTCTTTTTTGAGATGGTCTCAGTATGCAGTTCAGGCTGGCCTTGAGCTCACTTTATAGCCCTGGCTGATCTGGAACTTAGAATGCTTCTCCTGCCTCAGCCTCCTGAGTGCTGGGATTATAGGCCTGTGCCACCAAGCCCAGCTTGAGCTCATACAGTTTTGACACTTGTCATCTTTTTTCAAGCTCCCAGAATTTGGCAATCTCTGATGGAAGAGATGATGGGGTGGCAGACAATGGGGAAGGGGACCGTGAGAGGAGAGGGAAGGTGGTTAGTGAGTGACTGACCACGGCTTCCTTCATGCCATCACCTCTGACTTACTCATGTTAATACATCAGGTTATGATGGAGAAATGGGCCTGTAAAACCCTCACCCGAAGACCAGGGCTTCCAGGCTGGTGGGGTGCCCGTGACATCCTACGGTGGCCAGAGAAAAGGTGCCCTCTGTAGACATCTGTTTGTGTCACTCTGGAAGCTTGACGGCCATGGGTCTGCCTACTCTGGGCTTGTCCCCTCCATGTTTGACAGCCCCTATCCTGTTCTCCTTGTGATATAGTCACAGTGACAGCTGTAGACATTGCTGTCCTAGTGGAGTGGCTACAGGGTTCATTTCCTGTAGCTGAAGGCCATTCAGAAACACCAAGCTGGGGTCAACAGTTCACTGCATGAGGGAAATCACTTGCTGTGGGGAGCCATGGGGTGTCTCAATGGCAGGACAGAGGCTTTGGACTTTTTTGGGCCCAAAAACTGGGCTTGGCTCGGTGCTGCGTGTTTTGTCTGTATTCACATGACCAAGGAGGGGGTCTTGTTTTTGTTCTCATAATCACAGAATGTCCTTGTCAGCTGACTCATGAAACTCTGCGGCCTTGCCTGTGTTAACAGCCACACCAGGGCCTGCCAGTCCTTGGCTGTCAGGACAGCATTTCCCTGTCTCGGGATGGCAGGAGCCTGAGCACCCTTAATCATGGCGTCCTTGCCTTGGATTGGCGTGTGCTGGACACTTGCTGTTGCGCTGCCATTGCCCTGTGGTGGGCACCCTGGCTCCCGGACACCCTGTATTTGGCTCCAGCCCTGTCTCTTGCGTCCTGCTCAGAAGCCTCACTGCTCACTTCCTCTCATGTTGGCTCCTCACTCGCCCGGAATCAGGTGTTGTTTTGATACAGGTTCAGTGCCTTTGCTTATTTAGTAACTGGCTTGTATAGCAAGGCAGCAAAACACTCCAGTATAGCCTGGCACTCAGGTGTCCCTAGGTGGGCCCAGCTGGTAAACACCCCGGGACGCAGACAGAGTGGAAGTGTCCCTGTGAATGTGGGTGGTGGGGTAGAGGCAGAATCCAGAGGGAAGGAAAGGCGAGACCATTGTTCTGTGGGAAAGGAGCAGAGCAGTGTGCATTGATGAACAAAAGTAAATTCAGGGGTGAAACCCTGTGTGTTACCCCAGTTCCCCAAGAACCTCAGCACAGCAGCCAAGTGACTCAGGGAACCGGGGTGGTGCCCTCTGTGTCTGTAGACTTAGCCCAGTGGCAGGAAGATCCCTGGATGTGGTCCCTGGTGACTGAGCTGCATCTTCAAGGGAATGTCAAGGGACACCGCATGGGCGTCAAAGAGGAGAGAGTATGTTTCTCACTGTCCCTGAGAAACTGGCCTTATGGAAGGAAACCAGTCTGCGGTCGCCAATGAATCCTCGTTTCCAGAGCTACAGGGTTGAGTTCATCTGCAGTTGGCTTTCTGTGCTCTGTGCCAGGGACGCCTCCTCCTGTGTCTGCAGACCTCTGAGGAGCCCTCCCAGAGCGTCCAGGAGGGCACTGTCCTGTACAACTGCAAGTCACATACCTTTAAGTGTTTGATCCCAAATGTTTGAAATACTATTTTAACACACAATCAGTGTTTTACGTTCTTTTTACTGCACCTTTAAAATATTGTCCATCTTGTTTTGGACTAGCCACATTCCAAGAGATAGAGGCAGAATTCCAGGGAAGCAGCCCTGGCTTCACCCTTGTAATAGGATTTAAGGCTCTTGTGCTGTCTTGGAGCAAGCCTGGCCCTGTGGCCTTACTAGATTTCTGAGAGCTGGAAGTGAGTTGGGTCAGATGGAGAGGGCACAGTGGGGTGAGGATCTATTGAATGACCCCAGTTTAAACTGAAACTTGTAACTATTTTTAAGTAGGTGACCTCCTTGACCTTGTAAGTGATCTTGACTCCAGGAAAGGGGACACTGTTCTTTCAGCTTCAGTGTTAAATCCCGTTCTTTCATAGGCTTTGAGCCAGTTATTTTGACCTTGAAGTCCTGACCTGTTTGTTGTAAAGGAGGCGTCTCAATATTATCTTCTAGGGTTGATTGAGGATTAAATGAGCTAATGCCTGTCAAGAATTTAGAATAGTTGTTGGCACATCAAGAATATAAGACACATTGAATTACTATCAGACTACATAATTTAAGTTCCCTGGGCCTTGGATTAAGAGTAAGGGAATTTGCAAAATGACTTATGGAAAATAATGGGAAAGACAGTGGAGGGGGAAACCATGAACTGAATCTCATGAACATGGAGTGTGGTGCTCTCTACTTTTGTTAATAGATGAAGATTTCATAAAAATGTTTTATTTCCACTTCGTCCTGGAACTGACTGAAAGAGAAATTGGTAGAATAATTTTATGTCTTTATGAAACATGGCGCAGAGTTACTTGAGGGTTGTGTGTGTGTATTTTGTGTGAAGAAATCAAGGAAAGCCTCCTGGACAGCCTTCATTTTGCTGAATCTGTTTTTGAAAGAAAAACTAAAAATTTTTTACAGTTGGATTGAGATATAATGCACCTCTACAAAATGTACAATAGGGTGATTTTTAGGGTTAGGTGGACATCACCACCATCAGTTTTAGAATATTTTCATTACCCTAAAGAAAGACCCTTATGACTAGGAAATAAAAGGAATTAAGATATATATATATATGTATTAGCTCCTCATGATGAATGTAATCATTATGTGCTGCAAACATAGACTGATAAAACTTTAAAAAATGGAAAGAACTCTATATTCATGACAGCCACTCCCACCAGTTTTTCCCCAGTGGTTGACCCTAAGCCCTGGGTAGCCATGAATTCACCTTTCATCTGTATAGATTTGCTTCTCTGAGCAATGATAAGATGGAATGAAACAATAGTCTCTTAAATTTTGCTTCTTTTATTTAGCATTCAATTTTCAAGGTTTATCCATATTATATCATGGATCAGTACTTGTTTTCTAACTGCTGAATAAGGTTCCATTGTGTGGATGTATCATAGTTGATAAATCATATAAACAATTATAAATTGTTTCAGTTTTAGGCTATGATGAATCACGCTGCTGTGGACATTCATGTACAAGCTTTTGTGTGGCTTTTTCCCACCATTGTCCTGTTCCTCAATTCCTTCTTTATTTTCTTTCATTTACAAAACATGTATCTGTTTGATCATAGCATTGAGTTCTTCTTTTTATTTTTTTAACTACAGTAACACCAGGCAGGCGGCGATGGTGGGTGGGGAAGAGTGGGGTGGAAGGCAGTGTCCACTGACAGGGGACCCCTGGGCAGAGACAAAGGTGAGTGAGGATGAGGTGGACACAGAAACCTTCAAGCCTTCATGGCTGAGGAACAGCGCAGCTGGTGGGAAGACTTTGGATGTGGCTTCCTCTGGAGAAACTGACTGTAGCTGGAAGGTTCAGGGGTTGCCTGGGCCCCTCACTCTCCGCAGCCATGTTGGGGTTCCTTAAGCACGATGGGCAGCTGGGTTCTAAGGAGCTGTGTTAGCTTTTCTGTCACTGAGACTTTCAATGTAGAATGAGAGAAATATTATTTTGGCTCAAGATTTCAGAGGCTTGGGGCTGGGGATTTAGCTCAGCGGC